AAATAATACAAGTAACACATGTTTGGCTACTGGAAGTGGAATATGAGAAGAAAAATTATTAGCCACTATGACATCCTTATGCTAATATATTATATTTAAATCCTGCTAATTTATGAATCAAGCCACATAAGAATGCCATGGTGGATTTAGCTGCTATTGTATTAGCCACATAAGAATGCCATGATTGAGTAGTTGGAACTTTACACCTAAATAGTAGCTTGCTAATGTATGAATTAAGCCACTATTGTTATCAAAATTATGGTTCAGGCTTAAATCTACTGGCATTCTTCGGCTAAGTCAGAATCTACAATTCCCCAAAAAATAAGAGAAAGTATACGATTTTATCCCTATTTTAAAGTAAGTAATAACATTATTTACTTTAATTTTATAATATCATTATATTATTTTCTAATGTTGAAAGTTTTAAAAATTTTAGGACTGCATTGGGGCTATTGATGGCACACATATTCCAGCAATGGTAATAGGACATGATACAAGCAGTTATCGGAATCGACATAGACAAATTTCGCAAAATGTTTTAGCTGCTTGTAACTTTGATCTGGAGTTTTTATATGTGCTCAGTGGGTGGGAGGGTTCAGCTCATGATTCAAAACTTTTGACGAATGCGTTAACAAGAAGAAACAGACTCAAAATTCCTGATGGTATTAATTCATAATTTTCTATTTCGTTTCATATTTCTTAAATACAGTGTTATTAAATGTCACAAGCATGAGATAATTATATATTTTATTTACAGGAAAGCACTTATTGCCCGATTGTGGATATCCAAATAGACGACAGTTTCTTACTCCATATCGAGGGACTCGCTACCATCTTAATGATTTTACAGGTCAAGGTCGTGACCCAAGCAATGCCAAGGAACTGTTTAATCTCAGGCATTCTTCATTAAGGAATGTAGTTGAGAGGATATTTGGTATATCAAGGTTTGTGATTTTCAAATCGGCACCTCCATTTCCGTTTCATACGCAAGCGAAGCTGGTATTGGCATGTGTAGGGTTACATAACTTTTTACGAAAAGAATGTCGCTCTGATGAATTTCCAGCTGAACTTGAACAAGAAACAGGTCAATCTTGTCCAATAACTGAAGGAGATAATTTTGGTCCATTTTTTGAAAGTCAAGAACAACGAAGAGCGATCGCTAATGCATGGAGGGATGCAATAGCAAAGGAAATGTGGAACAATGCTATAAAGTGGAAATTGGACTTGCTTATTATTTTTATTTTATATGAAATTGTATGAGACGCAAAACTTTTGTGATCATCAGATTTGCATCTTATTGATTTTTTTACTTTATATTTTTTTGATATTTTAATTTTCTACAAAATTTTATTGAATCTCTTTAAAGATCATAATATCACTAAATATGTGTTTCAAACATAATTGCTATTAATGTTGTCAGTTGTATGTCTTTGAGATTATGTGGTTTATTGAATAGAATAAAAAATTATAACAAATTGGACTATTTTTGTACAAAACGATAAATAAACAAACAATAAAATAGAAAATTCACATTTCTCTTTTTTAAATTGATTTTTATTTTCTTTCATGTATAATTTTTCTCACAAGTTCTCACAATGGTATATTTATATATTAATGTTGATGTTTATTCAATCAATAATAAAAGACTACAAAATTCTTGAAAAGTCTTAAGAAATCTCTAAAGGTCCTGAATAATACCACATGTCATTTCTGGGGATTTGTAATAAATTCTACAAAATCCATAAAAACTGATAAAATCCCATAAAATCCTATTCTTAGTAAAATCCTAAAAAGTCTTTTAGAATCTTAAATGAATACACCCCCCTAAATCTGTCATTAAAGCTATGTTTGGTAGACAAATAAGTTAGTTTCTAGCTTATTTAATTAGCTTATAAGTTTCCTATTTTCAAATAAGCTTTGTTTGGTAGGACGAACTTTTTTAAAAAGCTCGAGCTTATTTGATAAGTTTCTTTGGTAGTTTTTCAAATAAGCTAGTTGAAATTTTTATTTCAACTAATTTATCAGCTAATTTTACTAAACACTTTTATCATATAAGTTAGAGCAGAAATTCTATGGCGCCCATACGGGCGTCATAAGCAATGCCACAATCTTATGTGTCATATGAGGTGGCTTTAATAATTATAATTATAATATCCAACATGGCATGAGGTGGATTTAAACAAGATTTTCCACCCAAAATCAGAATCCCTACGTAATTAGGATTGTTCTATTCATATATCTGATGCATCCATAAGAATAAAATAACAATTGTTAAAAACGTAAATAAAAGTTTTGAGAATCACACGTAAAATCTCTTCGACACGGCCAGAGTTTTCTCCTCGTTGGTCCTCCTCCTTTTACTCAAGCACCTGGTTAGTATACACAAAAGGGCTGATTATTTGATAATAAAGCCTAGCACAAGGTTTAAGATACGCTTTGATAATAAAAGCTCTTTCAGATATATATTATTGAAAGAAGAATTTGATATGCTGGTTTGAGTAAAACTTGATCATAGATGGTTAGCTGCTAACCTTTTTTTAGGCTAATTGATCATATAAATAAATTCATTTCGTTAATTGACAGATGAAAATTAAAAGTTCTGAAATCTATTTCATAAGTCAAACCTTTGAATTGTTTTGATATTTTGAATTATTATTATTATGGAGCATTTTAGAATTGAATTAGAGCTCCAGGAGTCTGGATTTTCTTTGACTGCTAGATCCAGTTTGATGTGTTCTAGGGGTGTTCTTGACACTTAGGGCATAGAGGATGTTGCTGTCCCAGTAAAGACGATTGTGAATAAAAGTGGGTAATGTTTAAAATCTTGTTTTAGGAAAAAATTCTGATTTTGGGTGGAAAATCTTGTTTAAATCCACCTCATGCCATGTTGGATATTACAATTAAAATTATTAAAGCCACCTCATATGACACATAAGATTGTGGCATGGCTTATGGCGCCCGTATGGACGCCATAGAATTTTTGGTGGAGGATGTCTTTATTCTTTTTGTTTTTATTAGTTGAATAGTTATGTACTAAGACACTCATTCGATAGCCCAAAGGCGATCTGGACCGAGGCAAATATCGGGCTCAAACCCACGGTTTCCCCTCAACCACAAGTTACAGGCTCAACTATACATGTGGCCATAAATAAAAGAAAAAATTACCCCCTGCACGAGCTCATCTTTAGTTCTCTACCATTTAACGCGAGGAAAAAAGATTTCGCACAACAGGTGTCATTAAGTCAAATTTACGATTTTTTTTAACATTCAATGCCAATTTTGTGTCTTTAGTTGAACTTAAATTAACAATTAATTATCTGAATAAAAAAGGTATATTGATTAATCACGACCATATCTTCTCCCAACCAAGCAATACACCTACACAGGCATCTTGAAAACGGAAAAAACGCAGAAGCAATTGTTTTCCTAATCCAACCCTAACCTGTTCAAATCAAAACGCAGAAAACCATTCTTTCTTCCCAATGGCGAAAGAGAAGGATGAAGAATATATATCTGATACTTCATTCGAGCAAGAGGTCCTATGAAGCAAAATCGTGGAAAATAAAACATTTGGAATGTTGAAGTTCACGAGCGTCGAAGGCTCGTGCAAAAGAAAATTCAGTTTGGTAAAAAACTCAAGATCAGTGGTACGAAGAATCGCTGCTCAGTTTCTCGGATGAAGATTGACGCTGATGTGAGGGGCAAGCGTAAGCTTGTTTATGGTAGCGTTGGGTCGATTGATAGTGATTCCGAATTCAAAACAGAACGAGAAACTTCGTCGGACCAAGAAGAACATGAGGGTCGTGTATTTGCCTGCCGATTCGAAGGCAAACAAAAAAATTCTCAAGAGGTCCAAAGACAACTCTCTTATTGGCCATACTATGAACAAAAAGGCGAGAATTGATGATGAATCACCATCCTCTAAAGAACATCAGGTATTTTTATTTAGTGGCAATTCTTCGATTTTACAGGAAATTCTTTAATGTGGGGACCCTGTTTTCTATGTGTGAAATACTTGTAGCATATTATATTTTTTGTTATTGTGGGGACCCCTATTTATTTTTTGTAGAAACTGATCTCTTGTCAAATTTAATTAGATGATTGTAATTATCTTGTGTTATAATTAATGTAGGATATAAAAAACAGATGCTTTGTTGATAACAAATTACTTAAAAAACAGAACCTTTAGTGTTAATTCTAACATGTTTGACATGAAATTCTTATTGTCGGGACCTCATTTTCTACATGTTCAAATTACTTGTTTATGTGTTTAAATTACTTGAGTGTACTATTTGCAAAACTTTTGATATTGTGTCACAGTGTGTCAGTGTCACAAAAGAGCATGAGTTTGTTTTAACAAGAAAATAGTCTGCTCACCTCTTATTTCTATCTAGTATTTTTTATGTTTATTTTTTGTAAATAGTACCAATTTATTTGAATACTCACTTAACAATGACAAGAAAACATTGTTTTGCCGCAACAAGTCAACCAAGACTCATTTCATTGTACTATACATGATGCATCGGCCATGAGGATGATTTATAATATTCTGGCTAATTATAAGGTTGACTGGGCACACTAGATATATTAACATAACACTCAGATAATCAACAGTGAAGAGCATTGGGAGTTTACTTTATCTTTATGATTATTAATAGGACTGAGAGTTGATTTTACCAAATGCAAGAACATTGACAGTGAATGATCTATTCTAAGGAGTTTGATTTGGTGGTGCTAGATAGTGTCAAGAGCTATTCTACCTTGATTCCCATATTTCTTGGTTTGGTAAATATTTTTGCAAGATCAGACATTGCGGTGCATACTTAGGAAAGTTTGTGATTGATCCTTTCGATGTTATTTTCGTTGATGGATTGTCCCAGTAGAAATTCAGGTACATCTTTTTTGTTATATAGTTATAGTTTTGTACATTTACATAAAGCTGAAGTCACAATATTTACACCTCCCTTTTATTAATTTTTTGTTTCTTGAACAAATTTTAGTGATTGTGGAGTATATGTTGCTGCTTATGCGGAGTACTTTGTTTCGGATGAGATCATTGATGTTGAGACGTTTGACATTGATATTGAGAGGCTTAGGTTCTCCTACTTGCTGTACAATCATGGAAGGATCAAACAGCAAAAACAGGCAAAAACAGCCTGAGAGTGATGATGAATCACACCGGTCGATTGTCGACTACTGCTCCCAAGTCTTTAGTATCTCGTCCTAGTTAATTAGCATATTTTTTGGCTTTTCGGGAGCACTGATTTTCATGGTCATGCAAACAACTATTTATGAATATTTTGATATTATGTTAGGATTACCTTGGTCGGTTGTTTTTTGGTGTGTGATCTTAGACAAAAAATAAATAAACTTGTATGTTGGTTCTACTTTTAGGATTTTCATCTTCATCTTATGTCTATTATTTAACTTCTTCGTATTTGCTTATTTTTATGATGGTATATTTTATGTTTATCTTTTATAACTGATGTCTAAACTAAACATATGTAACATGTTATTTTTAGTTGAAACCTTGTTATTACTCATTATAGTCAAATGTATCAAGTATGTTCTTTTTTATTATTCTCTGTATTATTTAGCTAGTATGGTATGCTACACGTTTATGTTTGGTATGTTATATGGCTATGTTTATTTATTTTTCAAATAGTTTATGTTTTTTTTATTATTTATTAGTCAAATGTATCAAGTATGTTGTTTTTTTTATTCTCTGTATTATTTAGCTAGTATGGTATGCTACACGTTCATGATTGGTATTTTACATGGTTATGTATATTTATTTTCAAATAGTTTATGTTTGGTATTTTACATAATTATGTTTATTTATTTTTCAAATAGTTTATGTTTGGTATTTTACAGGGTTATTTTTATTTATTACTAGTACAGAGCCCGTGCGATGCACGGGGTGCACAATTTTAAGGCTATTTATTCAGGCTTATAATTATATACATGAATAAAGAAAAATGTACGGGATATATATAGTACGTGACCCGTGCAAAGCACGAGATATAATTATTTGGAGAATATTATATTTTAAGATGCAATATTCAATAAAAGTTTATAATACGCAAGAAAATTGTACAATGTTCAATAAAAGTTTTATAATATTCAAGTGGAGTCTTAAAGTCTCTTGTACATTAAGACTACTGACAAAATAATATTTTAATCAATGAGTTTCCTTTCCTTGTAGCCAAATTGTGAATGTGATTTGAGGAGTACAACAAATCGATATATAGTTGACTTGTTTTTTTCATTGTAGTTTTTTTTTTTTTTTTTTATAATGAATTTAAAGATATTCTAAAATATAGCAAAAGTTAATTTTTTATTACAATTAGGAATTTTACTAAATATAAACTCTCAATTTATGGTGTTAATCAACATTTAAGTCTAAAAAATTGGGAATTTTTAACTCTTTTAATCAACGTTTAAGTCTAAAAAATAATAGAGTTATTATAAGTTTTTTTTTCTACATCTTTTAAGACATTAAATATGAGCATGTTAGGGCTAACTTGTAAAATAATTAATATATTATCTCACTAAAACATTTATACTAATAAAAATTTAATTTTAGCATATAAATTTATCCCTTGATATAAGAGAAAGTAACAGTTTTACTTATTGTTGTTCACCATATAATATTTAATTATTATTTTATCATATAATAAAAAAAATATTTTTAAATTGAATAGTAGAATTGTTAAAAAATTATATGATTTTTTTTTTACAATATAGATTTAATATTTTTTTTTATGATTTGATAATATAAACAAATTTATACTTAACTTTGACAAATAAAAAAAATAAATACTTTAGTAAGTATTTAATGTATATACTGAATAGAAATTTATTTGGTATAACCAAATACCAAATATAATCAAATAAGTCAAAGTGTATATTTTTATTTGGTATTTGATTTTTTTATTATTAAAATCTTTTTATTATGCTTACCTTTTTAAAATAAAATAAATAAATAAATTAATTAAATAAATAAAATATTATAATACCAAAATAGTAATAGCATTTAATGCAGTCGACTTTTCTGGATAGTAAATATAGTAAATAGAATCTCATTTTATATAAGTATAGATTGTATAATACGGAAATAGTAATATAATAAATGTTGTTGACTTTTCTTTATACTAAATCTGGTAAATGGTATACCTTTTAATATAAGTATAGATTCCATGTATACTCAGATTACCCAATTTGCAGACGCAATTCTACAACGGACTCGTTTATTTTCGGAGCTCATTAATCAAAAAAATTCCACGTGTTTTATGAATAGAAACCAGAGTTAAACTCGCAAGACATAAAGAATAAATGTATAAATCATCTACAGCCGGGGGCTCATTTAACTTTTTCCATCGTCTACGTCTTATGTTACACCCCAAAACATATTTATGTTAAGTTGTTTGTCCAAATTGAATATTATTCTATGTTCTATACCCTGCTCATTTATAGTGGATAAGGCTTAGAAATGTTGGTAATATACAACAGATACAGAAAACTCATGAAACCTCAAATAAAGACTGATTTCCAACTGGTTTATCTTTAGTGTATTGAAAATTTGTCTCAAGAATTCTTCAAAGCAGCAATTCCGATTTACAGTGAGTCCCGTCACTTCAAAGTTATTCGTTAGTGTTGTTCTTCTAATCTCCATTGTGGTGAAAAAATACCATAAGTGATGATATTTTCTGCAAATCATAACAAAAATAAGTAAATAAACACAAAAACACCATAAAAATAGACGAATTGATACACAGTTTGTAAATCTATAACAATTGACATTAATTTGTATATGAAACCTTGAAAATAGCAGACCGATTGGGCAGCCCTTGACGGAGAGGTGAAATTGTCAAAGCACAATTTATGTATACACTTTTCAAGAAGAACACCTCGTCGAATATCCGCCAAAAAAATCTTGATCTTCCCATTTTGATAACTATGGTAGGTTCTTGATTCCGTCTTATTTTTAGTAACTTATAGAGTAGTGGCGTGGATGAGGATATTAATGAAAGAATAATTGCTCTAAAGATTTTACTTCCAATTTTATGAAAAAATTGTTTTCTAGGAATTCAAAAAGTCTGACTGACCAAATGTGCGAAGAGTTTTCTGCCTTCGTATATTGGAAATTCACATCTGATGAACTCGTAGACGTGTGATGGGCTAAAAAATTAAAGTCTCTTCTATTGATAACTAAAACCGTGCTATTGCTATAAAATCTGCATTAAACTTAAATCTCCGTTAAACTTAAACTTCATAATTGGGACCATAGTTTTTAAACCCGGCTCGGTAGTTGACTCGGGCAGGTCTCCGGGTCACTGGATAACCGGTTCAAGCGTCAGGTCACTGGGTCAATTGCTGAACCGGATAATTAATTTTAAAATTTTTTAAAGTATTATTGTCATATAAATATACATAAAAATAACAAAATTAAATATTTTGTGTATAAAATTTATACATTAAAGTGCAAATAATATATATCTCATGATAAATATTTACCTTAACATATATACATAGTTTTATTTTTAAAAAACAAAAAAAATAATAAAAATAAAAAAATATATACGGTTTGGGTCAATTGGGTTGACCCGGCCGGGTAAATGCCCTGGGTCGGCCGGGTCAATTCCGGATTGACCGGGTCCTTTGTTGCCCGGTCCAAATAGCCCACCTGTATCAGTTCCGGCTCTGAGTCAAAATTGATGTGTAGATTTTAGCCAAAATTGATGTGTAGATTTTAGTTACATTTTGTCTAATAAAATAAACATACATCTATTTTTTTTTTAATAAAATTAACGACCATGCTAATTTTTTATTTTAATTTTTAAACAGCTGACTCAGACCGCTATAGAACTGAATCTAGTTGGAAGGACAATCTCGAAGGTTGCCACAACTCACACACAACTGAACAACACGCCCAGGAACACATACTAAATAACCCCCACAACTGGAGAATAACCGCTCCCACATAGGAGAACGACACAACACTCTCATATGGAGAATAACACCACACCCTCCAATGGGGAGCAATTCAATACAAACTAACAAGACACACAAACACAGAAACACTAAAAACACACTAAAAAGCACAAACAAATCATAATAACAAGACTAAAGCCTCTCCAACATCGGAAAAGCAGCCTCGAACCACCTCCCCACGACCCAGCACCAAGCCCGACCAATCAAAGAAAGCGACTCGATCCATGGCCCAACACGCAGGATATAGAAAATCTCTCTACGGCTAACTAGATTCGGACTAACGAACAGAATGCCCCCAAACAGCTACCCCCAAACTCGACCCTAGGAGAACCCTACCACAACCCTCCCCACGCATAAACTGGAATAGCAACATCGCTTCACCGCCACCACCGGAGGGACCTGCACTCCCATCACCATCACCAGGGGAAAAGGAGAAGACCAAAGAAACAAACTCATAACCGACCGTTGCAAAGCGGCTAAAGGCGCATGCTGCCACGAGCTCGTCGGCGAGTCAACAGACTCCCGCCATGGCCACCAATTTTGTTATTTCTTGGCAGAAACACCATGTATAACCGTCAGATCTGACGCCCGCCTAGGAAATCGTGACCAACCTAGAGCCGACCCAAGCGTCACACGATGTCGAGGGGCAGAAGAATTTCAGACGAAGGAGAGACATGTAGAAGCGGTAGAGGAGTAGGTTATGATTTTCGTATTTTTTCTTTTTTCTTTTTACACGCTAAATGTTGAATGAAATAATATTTTACATGCATGGGATATCGTCTTTTTATGTCAACTCAACTTTAAAATTAACAATTCATACAACTATACATTATTTTGTGTTAAAACATTATATTGAAGTAATATATACAATAGAGTTTATGTCAAAATATTACGTAAAAGTAGCATATTAGGAAAAAAAAAAAGACTTTCATATAAAGTATCATACTATAAAAATACACATAAAACACCATTTTACATATTTATCAAAACATACAATTCAGAATATTCTCATTTAAAATTTTTGCCTCGATATGATATTTATTATGTCAGTTAAAGAAGTTGCTCTTACAAAATGAACATTAAGAAATCATTAGTTTTGTTAAATGATGAACAATTGAACATCAATCTTTTTGTAAAAAATTTAAATTATATTACTGTTTAGTTTT